ACTGCTGTACTGTGAAGGATAAGAGGAAACTGCAGCAGGTGGTGATGGCAGCAGAGCGGGCAATTGGCACTTCACTAACCCCCTTCAGAGACATTTATACTGGCAGACTTCAGTGAAAGCCAGTATCATCATCAAGGACCCCTTGCACCCTGGACACTCACGTTTTTTCCATCCTCCCCTCTGGAAAACACTACAGGTCGATCTGATCAAAGACAAACAGACTCAATAAAAGTTTCTACCCACAGGCTGTCAAACATGCTCTACCTCCACCCTGATTGAAGGTTAACTGTGCTGTTAACATTTATGGAAATTTCAACTGTTTTAAAAACTGTATTTATTATAATGCAACCATCATACTTAATGTGCACTACCACCGATTGCGTTGCACCTTACATTGCGCTGATCACTTGCTCTTTAAATGGCAACTGCTGCTTTATATGGCACATATATCTTGTACATATCTGTGTAGATACATACGTTCCCTGTGTAGGTACCTCTTTAACTTTATGTCTATTTTTGGGTGGATTCTCTTTATTCTCTCTATTCTAAAGGAATTTTAATGTAAAATCTACATGCTGCTAACGGAGAGATGCCAAACTGTCTTTCATTGTTCTTGTAACAGCGAAAATTAAGATCTATTCTATTCTATATAAGGTTCATGGAAGTTTCTGAAAGATGAAAAAAGATGTTTTAGCAGCTTGTAGGATTTACTGAAACAAAAGTGTCTTAGCAAGACCAGGAGTTCTCAAGGAATCTCTTTGGAATTTAATTTTGCCATGCTGCTCTTGGTTAAGGAATTGCAAATCAATTCTTAGATACTTTATTTCAACTTTTGTACAGTTCACATACCGTACAAATACCATCACTGTTTTGTTTTTAGGAAAAAACAACCAAGGAACCTTGGGTCTTAAAAACACCTAAAATACAACCATCATACGACCTGATTTGGCCTTTAAAAATAATTGAAGTGGTTAACTGATAAATACGAACTGTTACATCTAATGCGTCCGCTGCAAAGCAGTGTCTTTTGGGCGGCTGTAGCGTGGTGGCTCAATACCATTTGAAATGCCACTTAAAGTATCTTTGGGCAAGATACTGAACCCTGAGTGAGTGTGTATGCGAAGGTGCTTAAGTATAGAAAAACCACTGCGTGTGAAACTGTATTATCAAAAATGGCTCTTAGGCTTATAAATAACAGAAGTGCTATTTCTTTGGAAGGCATGAAGGCTGGTCAAGGACCTGTTTTTGTGGGCAGCTGTGTTAATCCAACATGCTTGCTACTTCCGCTATTTAAATTTGTAGGTATTACAACACTGAAATTAACAGGTCATTAACAAGTCAACACTTGAAGCCCAACAGAAAATACTGAAGTGAAATGAGTCAACAACAATGACACATGCATTTCTTGGCTAACTTACATTTTAATCCTTCTTTTGTTCTCTCTTTCTGTCAAAACAGTTACAAAAGGAGCCGAGTCAGCAGATTCAGTTAAAGGCCCAAGCACTCATCTATCCTGTGCTGCAGGCTCTGGACCTTTACACGCCTTCATATCAGCAGAATCAGCACATGCCCATTCTGCCCCGCACTCTTATGGTGCGTTTCTGGAGTGAGTACTTCACCAGCGACAAAGCTTTTTTTAGAGCAATGATGGCCAACACCCACAACAACCCAGAGTCTTCAAGCCTGCTGAAGTTTGTCAACTGGAGTGCTTTTCTGCCAGAAACGTATCATAGGAAGTACAACTACAGTGCTCCCGCAGTTACCGAGGGAACAGTTGCAATAGATGGACCATCTCGATCTCTTGCTGATCCGAGGGCGTCGCCTCTGCTTGTTCCAGACGCAGCTTTACGCTCTTTGCCCAAGGCCTACATTCTGACGTGCGAGTATGATGTTCTCCGAGATGATGGGATCATGTATGCCACACGGCTCCGTGCTGCTGGCGTTGAGGTGACACATGAACATTATGACACAGGATTTCACGGAGCATTGATGTTCACCGTGTGGCCAACTGACTTCCTGATTGCACGTCGCATGACAGACAACTATATTAAATGGCTCAAGGAAAATTTGTAAAAGGTTGAGGATCAGTAGTAGTTATTCCAGTATTTCTTCACAATGCAAGAATGTTTTGATTGGGTGTAGACTTTTGTTTTTTGGCGGTGTCTCCTTTTCTGTGGTCCTGCTGTTTTTGTGTGTATTTATTGAGAAATTTTGTTGCAATGGATAGGAGTAGGAAACAAAATTTTGAGAGTATAGAACATTTTCTTTCCAAATAAGGTGGCTTGAATGCAGCACAACACATGACGGCATCACAAAAGTACAATAATAGTGTTGTGTTTGGCTCAACAGGCAAATATGAGGGTAAAAATATCTGTGGACTTTCTTTGGCCTGTTATGGTTCTCCTCATTGTTTTCCATCCACAGCACCTCATATCTAGTCTGATCTTATGGCTTTAATTAGTAATGCATACCACTGAGAATTCTGAAATATTCCATTAGAGGTTTAAAGAATCCAGTGTAAGTTTTGACACAGCAGAAAAGAATTTTCACAATAGTCTGTTTAGCCAAAGCTAACATTTATCCAAGCTGCAGGTCACTGAAGCCTGAGGTGATGTTAGAAAATATCAAAAACACTGGCTTGCATAATCGCAATATGTTTAAAAGAAAAAAGAATGACTCATTTTGTTGTGTGTCCCTTAAATGTAAATGGTACACATAGAGTTGCTTATGGTAATACCCTTAATTTAAACTGCATTTTAATGAATGAATGAATGGCATTTTAATCTAATAAAAGGAAAAAAACCAACTTCAAATCCTCATCAGAAACTCATCTACTTGCATTGTGCTTTAAAATATCTTCATTTCAAGGCTGCAGGCAGTGAAATAAAATAATCCACATTCCATGAAGAATATTGGCATCTGTATATAAAGAGCATGCTGCAAAGAAAAGCTTCGCCATAGGCATAAACACATTTTTGCTATAAAGCTTAGCTCAGTGTAAAGAAGCAATATGGCAAAAAGAGAGGAAAAATATCTGGAGCCTTAACCTTTACCGATTATTACAAGTCTCACTTCCTATAATATGAGCTGATAATTTTTTATGGTAGTACATTATGTAAATAAACTACTTTACATTTGGAAAACCAGAAAGTGCTCTCATTTGGGAACATAGAGTCATAAATATAAAGTCGTCATATCAGGAATGTAGCATGTAGAGTTGTTTTTGCTTCATATGCAATAAGCAATGGTTCAAAGGCTAGGGCACTTAGCTGGAGTTGTAAGTACAAGACCATTTGCCAGTTTGGTGAACAGTATGTAGGTGCGATTAAAGAGTTGGTAATTTGGCTTTCTATGCACGTCTGATTGCGTATTTATGACAGTTGTTTGTTTGTCTTTGACTTTTGTTTTTATCTCTAACATACACAAGAAGTTGAGTTGCTTTTTCTTTTAGCAACGGTGAGGTGACTTTAAACTGATCACCTGTCATTAGAGCATTACTGTTTCCTCTCTCTTGAGTGACACCACCTCTGTGACTTCTGTACATATGGGAGATATCCAAATAACAAGCTGCGGTTAACACTATGCCTTTCTGGTCTGAAAGTTTTGAAATGTGTATGAAACTGGGCACAGTATGTCTTCATTGATTTTTAGCTTCTTTTTTTCTTACCAACATTGTTGGTAAAAAAAACATTGCAACATTTCAAGTTAACAGACAAAGCTAGCTTATTTCCTCAAACAGCTCCACTTGCTCAATTGTCAATATAACAGTTTCTATTATTTGTCCTGGGTTTCCTTTGTTAGGTGCATTTTTTTTAAGCTATCTGACAATAAATTTACTTGATCCTTACTTTGGCTCCTGGTTAATTGTACTTGATTTGCTAGCACTAACACCATCTTCACCAATGACAAAATGTTCCAGTAATTAAATGTTGCAAGAATCAAACTTTCATGAAGCTTAATAGCTTAATCTGTAATTTCAAATGTCAAATACAAAATTGATTTTAGGATTTTGAGAGTAAATGTTTCAAATGCATTCCGGCATTTAAATTAAATAACTGTTCTCAACATACAGCAATCAGGATAAAACCTTTGTAAATGATACCCATGATGACTCTGTGACGTTGGTGGTCTGAAATGTAATATTCCCAGAGAATTTACTGTTTTAGTATATCACCAAATCATATTATAAGTAATATAGAGCTTCAGGCGTTATATTTGTCCTGGCATACTTTCATCTCTTTTTTTCCTGTTTGCTCTGTCTCAATATCAGGAAGGTAGTCCAGGCTAAATAAAATGATAGGTCAAGCATGGTGTGGTTAGTCGTGATGGGCATAAAATCCTTGCATGAGACGCCTCTATGATTCAATTTTCTAGTTGGATTTTATCGTGTTTGGTTTGATAATCAAGTTACCTAACATGCATTTCTTTGGCACATGGAGAACATGCAGCATTTACATGGGAAAGTCCAACTTGACCAGACCAAAATTGTTCGAATTTGAATCATTCTTGTTGATTTAGACTATGTCAGCCAGATTTTTACATACTATGGTTTATTAAGTGAATACAGGAGCTGAAACTGTGTAATTGGTACTCATTTTGTCATTCCACACCCAGCTCATCTCAGACTATGGCATTTGCTTCTAGTAGATCGTGCAAATATTTTTTTCCTTTTTGTAATTTTGGTCCGGTTATTTAATCAAAATTCATTTAAATATATATTCATTTAACAAATACCCCCTTTAATGATTTGTGGAGAAAACGTTGAAGTCTAGGTAATAATAAAAGAGCAGACAGTTTTTAATAGTCTTTATTAGCTTAAGAAGCTATATGGCACTATAATGTGCAAACATTCCCAAATAAGACGTAACAATGATAAAGCAATGCAAAGTTAAGAGTTTCAGCAAATGTGACAATAAACTTTCATTCATAATTTTACTTCAAGAATATGCTATTACATCTTTTTATTACTTAATAATAATGTGAGGTGTAAATACCCTTACTCATGAAGGGTTTCTTTGCACCACTGTTTTGCTGACTATATTTCTAATCTTAGATTCTAGGAGGTCTCTGAACTTGTCACCCATGAGGAAGTAGAAGATGGGGTTGATTACGCTGTGAAAAAAGGCTATAGGTCGGCTCAAGATATAGATAGTCTTTATGTGCATCCGTGTGCAAATCTCCAGTCCTGCCCAGTCTTGCATAGTTGCTATTGACACATTTCTAAGCACGTGGTAGGGAGTGTAGAGAACCAGAAATAGCGCTGCCGCTGATGCAACCACCTTTAGAGGCCGCTTGTATGATGATGCCACGCTGCGCTGCAGAGCCCTTTCCTGGACACGCAGTAGATGTGCTACTTGGTAGGAAAAAACACAAAGTCCAAACAGAGGGAGAATATAACCTGTCACTGTCAGCCCCAAGCTGTAGCCAAGCACACTGATATCTCCCTTCAGACTGCCAAAATCTCGGCACTTGGTCCAATTATTTTCTTTTAGGTCCTGCACCATCAGTGTTATCATTGGGGCAACTTCAACATTGACAGCTATCCAGCTCAACCCTGTAACAATCAGAGCTGTTCGTGGCCTGAGCAGATAATGGTTCCTCATTGGATACTTTATGAGCAGGAAGCGGTCCATGCTGAGCCAAACCATAAAGAGTATGGAGGAGTAAAGATTTACATGCAGGACGTAGCGGTTGATAACGCAAACATAGAGATTGCTCTCTTCTTTGTGATTTGAATAAAGGTAGCAGAGGCGTGGCAATGTGGAGAGGAAAATAAGGTCTGAAACCGCAAGACTGAAGAGGTAAATATTGCAGCTCTGCCACTGTTGTAAACAAACTATATAACCAAGTACAACCAGCAGGTTGCCAAGGAAACCAACAGAGAACTCAATTCCATAAAATGTTGGAAGGTAATAGGTCTCCAGTGCTTCAACTATCTGCGTACAATTAAGCACCTGTAGCAAAAGAGGAATAAAGAGAAAACAGGAGTGAAAGAAGGAGAAAGGAAGAGGAAAAAGGGAAGGATTGGGGCAAAATGAGAGAAAAAACAAAGTAAATTATTTATTCAAACTAATTTATCCAGTCAGTTATATCAAAGTCTTACATTCTGGAAAAGAAAACTTTAAGGAGATCTCCTTAACTCAAACTGAACACATTGAGCACAATACACATTATATTTGTAAAGATAAGACTTACCATGGTGTAGTTGTTTTGAAAGCTGCTGTTAGCGAGAATATGATGTGCGGTAGTGAGCAGGTGCAACCTCCCTCTGTACACTGGAAACAGTAAACACAGAGTAGTCAGGGTACTGGTGCCACTGATATGACATAAATAGCCATTTCATTTATTGTTTAAGTACACAAACACTTTGCGAGTTATTTGCATTTACAGCGTGGAAATATGATGCAGGCCCAAGAAAACATAGCTATATATATAATATAATTTTCTTATCAAAAGCAAAGATGAGCTCTCCTCCATTATTACCAGCATGATATTGAAATAAGGGTTGGAAAAAATGAATTTTTCAAATTTTATTTTTCAAATTTTCAACCAAATCAAGTGTTTAAATTCTTCTGAATTTTTGAAAAAAATGTAAACATTTGCATTCAATTGATGAAGACTCGTATAGTTTTATTTGAAATCTTTCCTAATCTGAATAATAAAATAAACATATTTGAGTCTATTTTGTCAACACATATTTCTGCTCGAATATTTATATTGTCTGATTACAATGCATGACTGCTAGCATCACTGTAATATATTCAATATTATTATTCTCTATGAATTGATCCCATAGGCTGCCTTTACAAACATTTGTAAAATAATAAGTTGTTCCGAAGAGCTCACTGAACTCAAGTGTGGGAAAAGGAAACCACTGTTGCAACATGTCAGTTTGTGCAACCGTTTTTTTCCCTTTCTGACATAATAAAATTATTGCAAAGTGAATGATTTATGACCCACAGTGACTCAGCCATGATGTGACAGACCGCATAAAGTTACAGAGCAGGTTCACTGAGCGCTGTTTCAAGATAAAACCTCCATGTCAGTTCCACCGGATTGTCCGACAGTACATTCTCCAATGTTATTGATGCTCAAAAATTAGTTACTGAAGGTCTTATTTTCCCATATTGAAAAATTATAATTTTAGAACACATCATGTGTGGTCTTGGCTAAACCACAATATCAATAGAAGTGTGAAAATAAGATTTTTTTCACCCTTTCTCAGCCACGCCTAACTAAAGTTGAGACTGTCTTCTTTATATGTAAACAAAGCAACAATGTGTTTAAATCTGAAAAACACATCATCAGTGGATTTGGTTAAAGCACAGCATCAGTGTATAAAGAAGATATTTTCATCCATTAATAAAAGTCGAAGCTATATGCATTTTATGTTAAAACAGCAACAATGTGTTAAAATGTAAAATCATACTCATTGCATGATTCTATAATTTTACTTACAGTCTCCTTTGAGCTGATGGTCTTGCTTGGTAGCTTCTTGCAGTCCTGACTAAAATGGCAAAATTCATAAAAAATGAATCAAAAATGTTTTTATTTCATTGTTTTTTGTCTAGTCATTCAATGCTACTTTATTTTAGTATTCAGAGCTATTTCCCTGGAATTTGTTGTTCAAACGTTAAAGACGTAAGTTCTAAGAGCACTGAAATGTTTTCTAGAAGGTATTTTTGAGTCACTGTATGGTTATACTTGTTCATAAGAAGCTGCAAAAATTTCAGTCACGTACACGCACGTCTTGCATCAACCAATAGTTGAGTTCCTTTTTAGTTAGAGCATGATTTTCAAAATAATTCTTTACTCACTTCAAAGTAAACTCATACTTCCTCTTTCTGTATTATAAATAATGTGTTATGTAGAACCCAAAATAATTTTTCTTCTTCACTATCAGTCACTCAATCAGTAGTGTGGATAATTTCAGCATGGCACCCTCAGGCACTTTATTAATAAAGTGGTATGGTTTTGCACATGTTGAAAATGCCACATTCTCACTTCTAAATAAATTGTATGCAGTTTGAGCAAGTGTGCTACTTGAGTAGGCCATGTTGGAGGCATGAATTCATGGGACTATTATCTGTGCTAATACAATATTGGCTCAAATTCTTGCTAGTGGGCATCACAACGATTTTGTACAAGGCAGCTGGTAGACTATGCAATGTCTGACACTGCAAATGCATTTGTATGTAGGTGTAGTGAAGCATGGCTGTTTCTTACAACGGCCTCTAATTATCAGCTGGGGAGAAGTGGATGTTCGCGCTATCCTCCTTTGTGCCACCACAATCTGGTGTTGTTTCACAGGATCTCTGCAGGCAGAGCATACGTGTCGCAGTTTTTTGTTTTGGATCAAGTTAGTTTGTATGGTTTATTGGGGGTAGTGACAAGACAGCGGCAGCGGCAGGACGGACTTCTGGTTTTATAATGTGATATTTTAATACTCTTCTGTTTTATTATGGAGGAAGAGCTCGCACAGCTAAAGGACTTGGTTGCTCAGCTGCAAGCAGAAAATCAGCAGATGGGGCAAAAGTGAGAATCGGAGCAACCTGGAACCAGTGCTGCTTCTACGGGTTAATTCACCCATGGGTATTCTGCTATTTAAGCTCCCGTAACTGAGAGACTGATTTATCTTCCTCGGGAGAGGTAGTGCCCATGGTTCAACGGTAAGACTGGAATAGGTATTGCCAAGTGGGTGGAAGAGGTGCAGGCCTGTTTCAGGGTACGACATCTTTCACCAGCCGACCAAACCCTGTTTATCTATGATCACCTGCAAGGCGAGCCCAGAGATGAGATTAAATATCAGCTTCAAGAGGAGAAAGACGATCGTGAAAAGTTTTTGACTATTTTACAGGAACTGTATGGGTGTACTAAGTCATATGTTTCTCTGCAGAAGGATTTCTTTTCAAGATGACCGCAGGAGGGAGAGACATTACAGGAATTTTCACATGCTCTTATGTAGGGATGGGTATTGATAAGATTTTCACAATTCCGATTCCATTTTCGATTCTGTTTAACGATTCGATTCTTTTTAAAAAAGGAGAACACTAAGGTCGATTAGCTTAGAACTTTGTTTTATATCTTCTGTTTGAACAAGATAGAAATTTAGGAGGAGCATGGCCTTACAAACCCAACAGTGAGATCCTTAAGAGATCCAGCCTACGGCTCTTCCATGGGGTTTCACAGGGTCCCCGGGGAAAAAAATTGTAAATGTCAAATAATAAAATAAATATTCTTCTGTAGCAATAACAAAGTATAACATAAATTATTCTGTAGCAATTACACAAGAATATCCAGTAATGTCCCTGCCTACAATTAAACACATTCACTTACCGAAAATTTGAGGGCATCTACTGTGGCAAATGGGTGCAAGCCTTTTACCACAAATTTAGTCACTGCTCGGTGACATTCGTCTATCCCGGCCTGAAAAGAGACACTACCGGTAGACTGCAGCGAGAACTGACAGCGAGCGCCAGCCAGACTCTGTCTGTCTCTCTCATCATGGTCACCTAAATGCACAGTAATGGCAGGTTTTATAATAAGGCAGATCACGCTAACACAATATGCACTGTTAGCTGATTATTTACCTGCTGCATTAACGGGAGAGGACGTGCAAACGTTACCGCTGCTGCTGGGTTGAGATTCTCAAGTCTGGAGCAGAATTAAAAACACGACATTCATTTAAGGTCATCGCGTGTTTTGTGAGCAAATGCTTTTGCATATTCGTAGTGTTTCCTCCTTTAAATGAAATCTCTACTTCGCAAGTATTGCAAGTTGCCCTGTTGTCATCCGTTCTCGTAAAGTATGACCAAACTTTTTAGCGTTTGAGCCGCTTAGGCGCCGTGTTTCCTGCCAGGTAAATGATGCTCCGCAATGTGGTGACGTCATTTGGGGCAACTGGAATCGATAAGGGAATCGTTTGCAAAAATGGCAAACAATTCCAAGGAATTGAAACAGTGGGAACCGGTTCTCAACAAGAACCGGTTTTCGATACCCATCCCTACTCTTATGTGTCTCATGCATAGGGTTGTGAAACAGTCCCCTCGTGATCTGCTGAACAAAGATGTCTTGCTTAGAGATCAGTTTGTTGAAAATGATTGTTTCTTACGCAGAGAATTAAAGCAGTATGTCCGTGGCCACCCTACTGCCACCTTGATGCATGTTCGTCGGGATGCTATATTATGGGAGCGTGGAGGTATGCCAAGGAGCAGTAGGGATAGAAGTTACTCGGTTCCCCCGGTGTTAGGATTTCAGCACAGTGTCCAGGAGGTCCTTTTCAGAGGTAGTCTGGCAGGTATTGCACCCTATGAATCTAAAATACAGGAGTTGAAAGAGATTCTTAAAAGTCAGCAAGAGCAGTTGAATCAGCTCGCAAGGAGTCTTGCTGCTTTGAATAGTGCTTCCAAACCATATCCTGCCTCACGTAATAAGGCCGTAATTTGTAGACAGTGCCAGAAGGTTGGGTATTTTGCCAGAGAGTGCCCTGGTGAACCCACAGTCATGCCTGCTCAGTCAGCTGGTACAGCACCGCAAGCCAGTTCAAGTAATGTTGTTTGTTCTTCCATTCAGGGCAACCTCTGCCCCGTGAACCATTGAGCCGAGGTTAAGGTGGAGGCGTCTTAGGCTCAGAGTCTGTAGTACCTGACCCTTTGCCCCAGGTTATTGGTAGGAAACCAGTAACACCCGCTGTCCAAGCCACTACCTCAGTCTTCCCTGGGTATGCATTGTCTGACCTTCATGTTTTGCAGGTGACTGACCCCATGATCTGGGAGTTTCTGCAGTTTTGGAGACGGGGGCCTGATGCCAAGGAATGTGGTTGCACTTCAAGGCTGGCCCTCGGGTTGGTCAGGCAATGGCATAGGTTAGTGGAGCGGGATGGCGTGCTATATCGGAAGGTCTGTCATCCTGGGAGAGAAGAGACGCTGCAGGTATTGTTACCCAAGTCCCATCAGGGTCAGGTTTTGCAGCAGCTGCACCAGAAGCATGGTTATCAGGGTGTTCGGAGAACAGTAGATGTGGTTTCTCAATGGTGCTCAATGGCCTGTCATTTTCTCAATGGATAGGGATGTATGGAGACATCCAACAGTGGTGCCAGGAGTGTGAGCGATGCCAGTCAGCTAAAGATGCGCAAACCCATCCTAATGTTTATTTGGGTCATTTGCCCGCATCCCAACCGAAGCAAATCCCTGAAGCTAATTGGTGTAAGACATGCCACGACCAGCGTGCAAAGGAAGTTCCCCTGCGAGAAGGTCAGTTGGTTTATCTCAAGGAAGTTGGGCTTAGAGGCCGTCATAAAATTCAGGATGTTTGGAGTTCAGTGGTGTATAAAGTGCTTAAGGCCCCTGACCAAAATGGGTCCATGTACACTGTTGCTCCGGTAAATAACCTGAGTCACGTGAAACATGTTCGCCGTTCACTATTACAGAAGAAGGTGGAATTTGAGACCCCTTGTCCCTTCAGTGCTCCAGTTCAATCACTAAAAACTGCCCCCATAGCAGAACCTATGCAGGGTGGTGAGTGGTTTTTATTGGTTTCTGAACCTACTCCGGCCCCAAGAAATTGCCAACCAAGACTGGAGACTCCTAGCCCCCGTAGACCAGTCGAGCTAGAACCCTCAATGTCCCCTGTGGTTTGCACAGATCCGCTGCCAGGTATTGCTGATGTCCAGAATGGTGTGGCCCCTTTACGTAGGACTACTCGGGCTAATGCTGGGATGCCCTTGAATCCACATCATCTTCCCCAGGTCGCAGGAAGCACTGCAGGAAAGCTGCTCACTTAGTATCACCCTTAGAGAGTTGTAACAAGACTCTTACGGGCTTGGACCCTGACTACTGCTTCTCTCTGTTTCATTACAGGATCGTGCTACACCACTGCTATCTTGTCTTATGGTCTTGTTTATTTGTTGTCCTGTTTCTACTTTTAATTCGGTTTATTCCAACTAGGGTCGGCATTTATTTGCCCCTTGTGTGATGGTATTTTACGCTTGATGGTGATGTTTTAAAGTGTGTTTAAAGGAGACTCTAGGATAGAATCCGTATTTGTTGTTTATTTTAGTTGTTTATTTTGTGTAATTCTTCTGTCCTTTTCTTTTGAGAAGGTCCGGCCGTTTGTGGGAGACTAGGCATGTGTGGTGGTTTCCCTTCCTCCAAAGCATGCATGTGTGTACACTGGGGTATAGGTATAACACACCAGTTAGATTGCAGTGAGGATTGCGGTGAGGTTGCACGGGTGAGTAGCGGGTGGCACACTGGGCACTCCTCCCTGTAGTCTGCCTCCAAGTGGTCGGTATTCCCCCTTTATATTTAGTTTACCTGTTTGTCAGGCTGTTACTGTACAAAGGCAGTCCTTTTAATGAACCTTTTTACTTCTATTGATGATTATCAAATAAAGTATTTCTAGTAATTTTGTTTGTTTCTTTGCCCCGCCGCTGCTGCAGATAACAAACCTGCGTGATTGTGATAATTGGTACATCTATTAATCATCTTTGCCTGGGGTGTAACTACCCCCAGGTGGCGTTGTCGAAAACAATAACATTTAGGTTGGTGGTGTTTCACTCCTCTGTAATCCCTTGCGCCGCTACATTTGGTGTGTGTCGAGGGGATGTAGGTTTGGCGTTAACCTGCCTCAGCCAAATCCTTTCCTCCCCTCCTGGTGCCGCTACATAGGCAATATCAAGAAAGCTTCAGGGCTGCAGTGCATGAGAAATGAAGTCTTGTTTTTTCATTGCAGTGTGGGTACACTGGACAGGCCACCAATCTGATACAGGGCTCCATTCCAACACCTTGATACTTTTGTAGATTTGCTGTTGTGGAATCAATGCCCTGCTGCATGACACAATTTGGCCCAAACTTCAGCTGTTGGCTTAACGTCTGACTTGAGATTACTTTGGTGACAAGCGGCGCCTCTCCTTGGGGCCAGAGGCCAGTGGGGTCGCCCGAGCACTGCCTGATTGAAATGAATTCAGAGTTTATTCGCGAAGACCTCAGTACTCAGTACAAAGTTGCAAAGACAGTAAGAGAGGCTTGACGCCCCTAAAGGAGCTCCACCTGACTC